CAATAATAGGTGCCAATAAAAATTTATTGCATTTTGACCACCATGAAATCATCGTTAGGCAGTGACAGTTCCAGCCGGGTCACCTCCTCCCACATACACATCAAAACAGGGTAAGATCAGGTCAAACCGGGGGAAGCACAGCGGGAAAAGGTCAATGGTAACACCACAGGACAGGCGAAGGTTGCTCCTGCCGCCCACATAACTTGACTCCGAGCTGCGAACTCCGGACTCCGGACTATGGCCTTTTGCCTTTCCTTCGAGATGGCTCACACACACATAACGCAGACCAGCACACACTCAGCTCGTTTGTCACATTTAACAGATTTGTTATCCTGTCGAGTTAATGTCGGGCACACAAGTCCCGACTGCCCGACTGTCGCACACATGTCCTGCACCCTGCACCCTGCCCCCTTCGAATCCTGGCTGGATTCACGAGAATCGCTTGACAGGGACCTTGGGCTGGCAATAAAAACAAAAGATTGATGGCATTGGGCACACGTTCGATTTGTTTTCCTGTTGCTCGACGGCTGAACCCCTGAATTCCCCACACCCCCCTCCGCTGGGGCATGTCCTTGTGCCTTTTAGTGCTTTGTAATGTCTTAACATTTGACACATCACTTGGATTTCATTCCATCCAGTAACAGCAGCATCGGTCCACCCCAATCCACTAAGGATATTGCTCGTTAGTTAAGGTTTCTAATAAATTTGTGCAACACATTTCTTTCCTTTCGATGCTTGTTGTTCGTTCGCTCGTTCGTTCGCCGCCTTCCACTGTCGTCGCTTGTAACATTTTTATTTGATAACATATTGCATTTGCCCTTTTCACGAAATCTTTTTCCTTTCCCTGTTCCGTTTGGTATCGGATTTCGGATTTCGAGTCCTTTCCCCCGGTGTTTTGCCAGCCATTCTGGGTGGGTTTCCTCTCTAAAATATTGGCCAGAAACTCGAGCCATCGTCTGGCGTCTCAACCAGTGGAACCCAGTGGCCAAGTGATTTATGGCGTCTGTGTTGGTCATTCAACTGCATTTGATTTAGGTTGTAAATTGTTGTATATTGCGGCCATCGCGTTTTGCTTCCTGTTTATGTTTGCTCTATAAATTCAGCGCCCTTTTCCGCTTTCGCTCTTCAACATTTTTCGCTAATGAATTTATGGCAGTAAACGGCGTGGGAAGTAGTTTTAGCGTAAAGTGCAATTGTTGAAGTAAGTTTGAATTTATTTATATATTATATAGTTATTGTTCGCATAAAAAACAGAGATCCCATGAATACTTAAAGTTTAATTGGCAGTACAGAAAAAATGTTTCTTTGATCGCAATATGTTTAAGTTGAAATTCCAACAAAAATTACTAGCTTTATCATTTAATATAAGACTGCTTTAAATCCTCTCGTTGTCTTATTAAAAAAAAATAATCCATGCCACATCCAATGTCCTTAATGTCGCTCCTCTGGGAATAATAAATCTCGCCATAATTTCAAAAGTCACCCAGAGATCATTAGGGAATTTTCTCAGCTTCACTAATTTTTTGTCCACGGCTTTTTTGCGGTCATCACTGGCTTAGCGCGATGGAAGGTGTGAGTCATCTATGACAGGCGAATATTATCCTTCGGCGGGACGTGAACGAAAGTGATAAACGATGGAGAGGAAAAGTGAAAATGGGACTGAGCAAAAGGGAGAGGAAGAGGAATGCCAAAGAGCCTGACACTTGGACGTGAGCACACAAATAACACTTAACACAATAACAAACAAACTTTTCGACTAATGACAGTCCAAGTAGCAAACAATTTATCGAATGCCAGAAAGGAGCCGCACACACACACACACCATACACACATTTTCGCACTGAGAGTTCCTTTTGCCAAGTCATTAATCTTGTTTCGCTCTGGTCGATATCCAGGGGACCGGGATGCAGGGAAGTCAGCGGGAGTCGAGTTCCAATACCGAATCCCAACCATGTCGTCGTTATCCTTTCAAGCGTGAACACATGCGATTACGTCTTGGTGTGTGTCCTTGTTGTTGCCAGTTTCCGCATTTTCCTGCGCCAGGCGGCTGCCATGATTAAGTGCCATTTTGAAAAGTACTAAAATCCTGTTGGTCATGGCCCTGGACCTTCCCACCTTCCCATCTTACCGCCCTCCCACCCCCCGCCAAACTGGCAATGTCAAAGTGTCAATGATATATGTTATACGCTCCGATAAGACGCCCTCTCAGTGGGCGGAAGGTTCTGGGATGGGCGATGGATTGGGTGAGTGTGAAGAGGAAAAACGGGAAAACCCCGTGTTTCTGGGCGACCAACAAAATATTGCTAGTGAACAAAAGCCCGGCTGTTGGAATCAGTGCACGTTCACACAATAACATAATAGTTGGTCATATATTTTACCGACTTTCTACCACCACCTCCCGCTGCTTCCATTGGCATTTGTAATTTTTCTTCAATTTTCTTTCTTAGCTTTAATAGCTCTTTAAGAGCAAAATGTTAATTATTTATTTAGCCATTTATTTAAATCACATTCTTGCTAAAATATAAAATATATATGTTTTTCTTAATCACTGCATATATTTTGCGTTTTCCAAAGTTTATTGAGCATGAAGGTTAGTTAATCACACCAATTTAATTTTAGCAGTAAGTTTATTTCCGAGTTCATAAAAATGCATGCACCTTAAATTAATTTTGAGGCTAAAATTATAATTGCTGACTCACTTTGATTTATTTTATTAGTTGTTATTATAAATTGTCTTACAAAGTTCATCATTTGTATTTGCTTAAATGATTACAAAGTAATTAAAGGAAACCAATTAAATATTTTTACCTGATTAAGTTCCGGGAAAAGTACAAAACGATTTGAATATGGAAACATTAATAATATTTAAAAAGACATACGATTCAAAATTGACATTATTGAACATTATACAGCGAGTAACTTTGAGGTTTAACACGATAAATACTTGTATTTCTACTTTGCCAAGTTTGATAAATGGATCTCGTTAAAGAAATAGGGCTTAAAGCGGTAATGGAACATGAAAGTACCTAAATTGTTGAAAATTTACTTTGAAATGCACTAAGTTTAGCTTTTAAAATCAGTCGAAATTTATTTCTAGAAATTAAACAGAATCGGGACATAAATCGTTATGGTGGCTTTTTAAGACATTTTAATAACGACCTTAAATTTAGTTTAATATCCAAGAAAATGCAAAAATGTATGTTTTCGGCTCATTTTATGGGACATGTTTGTTTGAGACATGTAGATTACCCAATTCCGGAAAGAGCCCCTCACTCTGCCGTCGGTGGCGAGTTTTTGCCAGCTGTAAATGAATTCGGCAAAGGCGAAATCTCTCAAGTGGGTGCGAAACTGATCGTAAACAGGCTCTTCTGGCCATCCGTTCCCACAATTCCAAGTACTTTCGATATGATCGAGAGATCTCGGGCCGACAAGACCAAGACTGATGATCGTATGCATCGGATCGTATATATGGTATATATTGGACCAGCTCGCAGCCGAAAAAAATGAGAAGAGGCCCATGTGAGAGAGAAACGCAACCGGAAAAAATCAAAGGCAAAACAATGATCAAAGCTGTCATTACAGATCGAGGGGCGGTCTTTGATCTTGGGCCGCAATGTGGTTCAGTTGGGGGATTTAATGTTTTGTTTTTTATTTGATTTTCACTTTGTTCTATCAATCAGCGCCTACTACTTTGCGACCAAGCGGCGCAACAGGAGAGGAGCTGAGAAATGGAGATGGGTTTACGTTTTACGTTTCGTTTACGTTTACGGATCGGTTCCGTTCGGTTCGGGTTATAAAATGATCTTGGGAACATCGGTATGCGTGTGTTTTCCTTACTTTTCACGCAATAAAAACACATTAGCAACAACAAGCAACACGTTAATTTCGTTTAAAAATAAAATAGACGAAATAATTGCCGTGGCAGAGGCCTACTAATTCGGAAAATCGCATTTGATGGATGACTATGGAGGAAGTCGTCGCTTCTCGCTGTTGCCTGTCTGTTGAGCGTTGGGCAAGTTGTCGATTTGGGGAATTTTTTCGTGGATTACCAGAGTCAGCTGCTGTGTAATTCGTTTATATACATTAAAGCATTCTGTGGATTTCCTGGAATTTATGCGGAATCTATCTCTCTTTCAAGCATTTTACTTGGTTAATTTGTTGAATTGTGATTGATCTTTGATTTGGCGTTTTGCCGACGTCGGCATTTGATTGAAGGTGTAAATAGATGATGGGACTGACGGATTGTTGTTGGAAATTCCTCAGCAACTCACTCATATTGGGGGAGTTAAAGAAATGTTGTATCTCAAAAATGTTCAATAATCCATTAGTAATCAATTAGTTTGAAAGATTTACAAGCTAATATAAGCATTTCAGTAATTTCTATTTGTGTTCATTAACAAATCTATTGTAAAGCCCACAAAAATGTCAACAGACTAAGAGGCGAACCAAAACAGCTGCAAATCTTTTGTCGAAAATTTCCAACAAATTTTGTAAACCACAAAAACGTTCTTCAGGGCCTTCTTAGACGAGAAATTTATGGCATTTAAAAACCCCTTTATGTGTCTTCGTCAAACGCACTCAGGCTACAAAATTAGAAGCAGATACACCCAAACGAACAGAAGTTTTTCTAATAAAAATCACGTAAGCTGTCGCCTTAATTTCAAATGAATCGAAACGATTCGACTGAAGCACTCCAAATAATTTCAACTTAGGCACGATTCTCTGCCCCTGAACCATAAATAATCGAGGTAGAAGTAGAAGATTCGGTCGCAGCTCTCTCTCTATTCTGAGAACCCCTTTTTGGACGGGCCAAAGAAAGGGCTATCAATTTATATTTGATGGCAGGGCCATCCACAAATCCTCTCCAAAGAAACCACAAAGTAATCACACAATGAAATTTATGTAATGCCTTCGCAGAACCAGCAGCAGCAGCATTTTCCCCATCTTGATCTGGTTTCCCGGGTAGCTACGGCTACTGTAGCGCACAGTTTTCCTCGTCCATCGTCATCGGGAGTGTGACAAATGGTGAGTGCTTCTGTTGTTAACACGGCTAATAAATCAGAATTGTCCAAACAAAGGTGTCGAGGTGAAGATTTGATTCCGATTCCTCTAGAAGTCCGTGACCCGTCCCTTGCGCTCCCAGTCGCCATATCGCGTGGGTTCTGGACCCGCCTGTCCTCCGATTTCCCCCGTATGCGGATTGGTGCTGTTGGGCCAGGGCTTCAGGGGCTCCTTTTCGTGGGCCGGATGTGGTGCGCACTCGGGCAGGGTTTCCAGCGGCGCCTCCGATCGCAGCTTTTCCCGGAACTCCAGATAGCGTTTGCTTAGTTTTTCCTCTGGTTTTGGTAGCACAACCCTTTGCCTATTTGCTGGTATTTCTTCGACCTCTTCTGATTTCAAATCTTTTTCAGTATTGTGTAGGGTAGAAAGACATCTTCGTTTTAGATGATGTCTGCATTGGAAGCTCATTGATCGAAAAGCTCGTAGCATTTTGGAACTAATTTTTTGACAACGCTTAAATAAGTGTTTCGGTTTAACAGTTTTTGACCGGTTTGTAAAAAAATTTTAGATATTTTGATTAAAACAGGCTGAAAATTCATGGGTAAAACGTTAACAATTTTTTTAGAAAACAGTTTTTTTTTCTGAATCCATAATTCGGCAAAAAAATATTAAATATTAAACTCTGAATGCCACCCCTTTTCAAGAAGCGTACTGGTTTATAATATCATAAATATTGTATCCACATTTTAAAAAATTCAAGATTATTATGTTTAATATATTTATTTTAATTATTATTAAATTTGTTCGGTGAAATGATCTGTGCCTACATTTAGTTACCATTTTCTATGTTTGCTAAAAACCTCTTACTAAAAGCTGGTGCTGTTAGGAAACCAGGAAAGGATTGCTTTCCCCAATTAGTTAATTTTACAATTAAGTCATGATACGTCGCGAGATAGTCTCCCAAAGGGTTAAGCCTGTCCCATTTCGAATGGAATTAAATCCACTCTGGCCGACAATCCCAACATGCTGTCCAAACACAGTTTGACATGACTCCGGCTGACAGGCCAGATCAAATGTCTGTCTCCGTTAGGGAGCCTCAAAGTCTCGGCTCGAAGCCGTAGCAAAACGCTGGCTGAGTGGAGTGACAAGGCTGACGGAGTCTAATGACTTTCAAGCAGCTGCTGCTTCAGCGCGGCAGCGGAGATGGAGATAAACTTCCGGAAACGAGTAGCTGTCCAAGGCAGTTAGCCGGTCAGGCTGTCAAGTGAGTAGGTGCACTCAGAAAAAAGGGTAGGGAATGTCAAGGAATAATTTAAAAGAAAATGTAAGTGTAAGCTTTGGAACACATTAAGCAATTAAGCAATATTTTTACAATTTGTGATCACTATTAAGGTACAACCAAAATTTAAGCGTTAAAGAAAAATTTTATTTTGGGCTTTTTACATTGTTTAGTTTCTTTGTTGGCTCTAAATTGGTCTGAAAGAAAACCAACATTTCTTACCGCTGTTGAAAATATAATTTATATTTATTTCTTAAAGATTATTTTCTCAGTGTGTGACTAGAGCTTCCCCACCCGTTACTGTTCATTAACAATTAAAAGTGGGCAGGCAGTGTCAGCATCAGCATCTACATCTGGATCTGCATCAGTCAGGCCGTCAGATTGGCGGGCTTCATCTGGGAGGCTTCATCTGGGAACTGGGATCTGGAATCTGGGATCAGAGAATGCTCCGATCGTGTCAAGCTCGACATGAGTTGAAATCGCGCCCCAGACACCTCTCGCTGCCGCGGTGCAACTTCAAAGCGTTTTAAATATGGCTTGTGCAGGAATCATCATCATGCACAGCAGCAGCAGCAGCAGCAGCAGCTGGATTCTTCAGATCCCCCGATCTGTCGCCTGTCACTTGCATAACGTTCTCTGCAAATTTGTTCTGCAATCCAAACATCCCACTCGGAAATCCCGCCTGGGTCTTTGGGCAAAGAAAACATTAAAAGTTGCCGGCTCGCGGCTGTCAGGAGATTTGCCTTGCACTCGCTTGCATCACCGCGGTTGGTTGGTTGGTTTGCCCTGGTTTGTGCCCTGGTTTGTGGCCTGGTCTGCGCAGCTCGGAAACTTTCTCCCCTTCTCAGCTCGGAGGGATTCGCCGAGATTCTCGATTCGCTTAATTCGATCCCCACAACCCCCCTCGCGTTTTCATCTGTCAGCTGGCACTGCGGGTTGTCTACGGTCGAATTGAAACTGCTGCCTCAACGTCGGCATGACAATAATCTCGCAAATCTGTTTAAATTAAGCGAGACAAATGTTTCTTTCTGCCGGGGAATATGTGACCAAGACAACCGCCAGACAATCGGACCAGTTCTCGGGCTTACCCCCTCCCTTTTGTCCTCCTCCTGATGCGGATTTATCTCGGTTGGTCTGCGGAAGTTTCGCTTTATTACACATTGTTGCTAACAAGTAAGGAGTAATCAAGTTATGGCGGAAAAATGTTCAATAGCATTTCCTAAACCCTCTGTTGCACAAAAGAAAATTAATAATTAAAAGCAATTTGCTGTAGAATTTTGTATATCAATTTTGATTTAATTAAAATATAGTTTAAAATGTACACCTGAAATATCAAGAATTAAATGCGACATGCAGCAGAATTCTTTGTTTAATAAAAACGTTGGTTTAAATCAAAATATAGTTAAAATGTGCAAAATGACGCAATAAATGTAGCTTAAGATATTTATTTCTGGCCTAAACCTTATAAAAAAGTGAAACCAAGTATCTTGAATATTTTATAAAATAATAATAAATTATATTTTGCTGTGTACACATTTTATTTTTAATTTACGAATCTAATTAATAATGTACCATATGTCTACATTTAAACATAATTATTTTCTTGACAGCAAGCGCTCCACAAACGTTAATCGATTCACTCATTAATTTAAATTTCACATCTTCAATTGAACCTCATCAACTTTCATTATAAGCGAATCTTCATAACTTAGCGCACAAAAGCTAAAAACATTTGTATATTGCAAACAAAGAAATCGAAATTCACAATAATTAAATTAAATACGAGAGATATCGAAAAATGTTCGCTGTGTGCTGTCTTTGATCAGCCGTCAAGTGGTTTGATCGATATCCCCAATAATAAAAATCCACCGACAACTTGTCTATAATCAAAATCCCTCTGGGAATGCTGTTGGTTGTTGTCTGTTGGCTGTTGGCTGCTATTGCTACCGCTGCTGTTTTTGTGGTAGGCAAAGGCATCCATCAATCACAATGAAAAGTTTTCCCGCACCACTGACTGATCTGGCCTGCCAGATTTGGCTGCGCCCACCCATAAATTTGTTTGATCCTTTCTAGCCGGATTTTTCGGAAGAATCGAACATTTTCACACAGTAATAAAAATCTCAAACATGTTTGTAAAGTTGTTAGTGCCCTGCCTTGCCTGCCTGACTGCCCCGCCTGCCTTTTTCGATTGTAGGCGGGAGCAGAACATATAAATTAACATTTTGACTGCCAACTGGCGCGGCAAATGATCAAAGACACACTGTGCCGTCATCGTTGCGTTGATCATCGTCATCATCGGGCAGCGGTGCTCGAGAGGAGCAGCAACAGTGCGAACATCATTCCACGTTTACGATCCATCAACACGAGCCATCAAATTGTATACAAACAAACGCAGCAAAGATCAAAAGCCACAGCCACGTTACCTACACACAAAAAATCTGTGCCGCTGCTTCTCCTGCCTTATTTCGATTTTCTTTGCCGTCCATCTCTCGGCATTTCCCTCAAATTTATTCAAAATATGGTGCTTGCGGCCTCTCCACTTGGCTGCAACTGGAGAACGAGATTCTCCTTGACTTGCCCCGGTTGCATATTCATTTTGAACACACTCACCTAATTATGTGCCGACTACAATTCCCATTTCTCATGTTAATGGGTAAAATACATTCTCTCTTTCAATGCCTGGTGTATCATCATAACGATATTAATAAAGACGCTGCTGGTTCAGCGGATGATGATCAGATGTGTCGGTGGGTAATGATAATGATACTCATGGCCCATTGAGTAGCAATTAATGAAATGAAATAATGAAATAAGGTCATAGTTTCAATTTATAAATTTTCTTAAAAATTTCAAAATTGTAATTTAAATTAAGACCATAATAGAGATAATGTTCGAAAAATAGAACTACTACTGATCGAAAACAAAATTAAATTATTCGTTTAAGTCTGATCAAATCCATTTAGATCGTAACGTAATAAAAAAAGATTTCAAAAGTTTATACAAATAAAACAAAAAGCATTTTGAAACCGCATTTAAAAAATTTACAAGTTAGTTTGATCCCTCCCCAAAAAGATATGCATCACAAATCGAGAATGAAAGGCGAATAGTGAGTGTCATAACACCATTAGCCATATCAAATGTCACCAATTCGTCAGAAAGCTGTAAATTTATATGTTGCCATTTCCGGGGCAGCAGAGATTTTTCAGATTTAACGCCTGTGAGCGGCATGTCAAATTCAATTTTACCCTTAAGAGCCGAGACAACGAAGTCGGCCCAGCCACCACCAGTCAACTCGGCTCGAATGCTCTGGTCATGGCAGCCGGGCAGAGCAACCGACCCCAATAAAGTGCAATTAGCCAGATTTATGATTATCCCCTGTTATGCACAAATAATTTTTAGGCAATTCCATATACGCTCGGCGACCGTAGCACGTACGTCCAAGTCCCCGGAACGAGAATTTATAACACCAAACGTAAACAACAAAGAAGACAAATCGCTTTATTCACGGTCGCCGCAAAAACCACCCCCTCCGACCCACCCCTTTTGCCATACCTCGATTCCGAGGGGATGAGGGGTTGAGGAGGGGTCTGGAAATTATGGAGGATGTGTGTATGGTATATGTCAAGAATGGGGCGTGAGTATGAGGATGTGGCATGCCCCTGGCCACGAAAATCGAATTGGAATCTGTTCGAAATTCGATACCGCTGTGTGGCTTTTATACCAATATGAAGACAGGAGGTTGGTCTGATTATCGGTTCGATAAAATACTCGGAAACACACCCCCTGTTAGGTCAATCAGTTTAACGAAGGTGTTGATAGTTTCGGGCAGTGTTTGCATTGGTAGCTACATTTAACTAATCAAAATACCAAAATATGTTATTTGATATTATGGAAATATTAAAATACCCTTAAATATTAAAATACTTAATCTTGAAATCAAGCATTTTTCATTTCTGGGAGCTTAGAAATAATTTTAATAAGATTTATATAAGTGAAAACGATTCCAGCGTATAATAACGAAATTTTTAGACTGAAATTCTTAACACTTAGCTTAAAAATATTAATATTAATAATTATTAAAAAGAACAATAATGATAAACAAAGTTCAAACGAAATGTTAAAACCAATCGTTCTTATCTCTGAGTAAAATACAAGTTAAAAGGTAGTCGGAAATACTCCTGGGTTATATAAGCATATCCGTACAACTTACTTCCTTTCCACAAGGGGCTGGTCAACCCCTCTTAACCCTTGAACACCTCGCCAGCCCACTTTAGAAGTTATGCCTCTTTTTGGTC